GTTCCCGTTTTAGTAAGTTTTATTTCTGTCACTCCTCTGCTGGTTACTCTGGTTTACTTTGACGAAATTTGTGGCCTCATCCGTAGGCTCCAATGACAATGTAGCTCAAATGGGGTGACTCCAAAACGAGTTTGATCGCAAGCTGTTCAGCTCTCGCCCTCATCACCCCACAATAACACAATATAAACCCTTTACTACTCTACATAAAACTTATGTGACGATAAATTTCTTCGTGAAATACGCTAATGTCAAATCCGCCTCCTACGTCAGGCAGACATGACACTGTTTGGCTCATCACGCATTCTCCCTCCGTCAATGTTTGGGCGGAATACGTGACGAGTTGAAGGCTAGAAATCCTTGCGCGAGTCTCTTACCATGTGATTAGGCAAGGAGCCCGTGGCCGCCCGGAGAAACGCCAGTTAACAGACCGAGTCGACTCCAGTCCTTAATTAGTGAGGGTTTTTCATGGCTTCTGGTTTCGAAGAAGACTTTTTGAACCCCGTTGATGAAGACTTTCACTGCTTAATTTGCCATTTGCCTTTGAGAGAGCCAGTGCAAACGAAATGCGGCCACAGGTTTTGCAAGTCATGTCTGGACAAGCACCTGGAAAGGTTTNCCATATAATATTGATATTCACGAATCTTGCATACATATCTCAGGAGTCAAATGACATGTCACCTACATTCGTACATTCACGAACCGCGTTCCCGTTTTAGAAAATTTTATTTCTGTCACTCCTCTATTGGTTACTCTGGTTTACTCTCACTCAATTTTTGGCCTCATCCGTAGGCTCTAATGACTATTGAGCTCAAATGGGGTGACTTCAAAACGAGTTTGACCGCAACGGCTGGACGTGTTCAGTTCTCGCCCTCATCACCCCACAATAACACAATATAAACCCTTTGCTACTCTCCATAAAACTTATGTGACGTTAAATTTCTGCATAAAATACGCTAACGTCAAATCCGCCTCCTACGTCAGGCAGACATGATACTGTTCGGCTCATCACACATCCTCCTCCGTCAATGTTTGGGAGGAATACGTGACGAGTTATAGGCCAGAAATCCTTGCGCGAGTCTTTTACCATGTGATTAGGCAAGGAGCCTGTGGCCGCAGGCTAGTTGACAGACCGAGTCGACTCCATCCCTTAATTAGTGAGGTTTCTTCATGGCTTCTGGTTTCGAAGAAGACTTTGTAAACCCCGTTGATGAAGACTTTCACTGCTTAATTTGCCATTTGCCTTTGAGAGAGCCAGTGCAAACGAAATGCGGCCACAGGTTTTGCAAGTCATGTCTGGACAAGCACCTGGAAAGGTTTGTCTTCATCACGAAAGCGAATGATGTTTTCATTGGCTTGTTCAAAATCGGTTAGGAAAATTCTCGAAAAGTAAAGTTTAAATTCATTTGAAATCATAAGCTTTCTGGGAAACTCATTAATATGCATGAGCATAAATTTTGCAGAACTTTTTAGCGACACAACAACATCAGTGGCGCACAACAACATCTCCCCCCCAGCGCAGACTCCGCTGTGAAACGGTCGAGGATGCATGTTTTCTCGCTTAGGGGTGTAAATCACACACATTGGTCACATTTAGGGTGTTCAGGAAGAAACATCACAAGTTTTAGACATAAAGGTATCTTTAATTGAGTTGCACTCAAATGCTGCCATGACCATTTTAAAGTGGTGTCTTTTGGAGGTCAAGTAATGCATCAGTCAAGTAGTACCATTCCCCCACCCCCCGGGTATTAGCATTTTTTTTTTAAACTTAATCCCCAGGGTAGGGACAAAGTAAGAGGGTAAATGCCGCGCCCTCAGTATTGTCGCCTTCCAACACCTCTGCAGTTTTTGTTATTAATGAATAAAATGTTCCACTTTTCAGTATTTTAATGCAAATTATTGTAAGACTTCAAGGACAATAGTATATGTTAGTTGATTCTGATTATATTTCTTTATATTTTGTTTTTAACAATTTGCTAGGGGATAGCGATAGGATACCAAGATCTGTCTTAAAGATGGCATCACTTGAATTTGCAAAACTAAAGTAGTTTAAAGTGCACTCCAGGTTGACTTTCATGAATTTAAAAAATGCTAGGCTAGTTTTGAATGTGAAATAGTTGTGTTCATATTGATTGTTTGTGATCTCTCAATATGTGATAAACAAAATATAGTTCAAGTGGCTGCTTTTGTTTATATGTGTACAAGTAATAAAGTAATATCTAAAATTAAACTGAGAAAAATTGACTGCTTCAGAAGAAGCATGAAACTCTGAGTGGCAAGTAAATAATGTCTTGGACCAACTAATCCAGCTCTTTACTTCTATTGTTATAAAATTGAGAAAACATACCTTTAAAAACATCCACAAGTTTGTCCAGTCCAATCTACAACAAATGCCTCGTCTTTGCTGATGAATTCCCCTATGGCACTTTCGAAAACGCGTGTGTCAAATGTCCGGGGGTCGCCCAGGGGTATTCAGGCTACGAGGCATTTGGGAGGGGGGTCGATGGTCACTGCTGTAATTGACTGATGCATAAAGCTTGAGCCATGCCCAGATTGATCTTCTTTAGGGGATTAATTCAAATGTTACAACAATGTTTACAAGCATCCTGACCTTTTCACGTACACCAGACTCCCTTCCGGGCTACAACCCTTGCCTGGAAGGGAGTCTGGTGTGTAAGAATTTATACAATGTGTTTCCAGAAAATATCCATACCCACCGCATGGAAATTGGACATTCTAAAGGGGAGGGAATTTTAAGAGGGATTTGAGGGGGTTCAAACCAAAGAACCCTCAGTGGGAGGGTTATGGATATTTACTGGAACAGCTATTACTAATTTTTTTTCTTTTTCTTTAACCATAGTTAATAGAGGGGAATGGTTATGAAACTCAACAAAATTCTTTGTTGTATGTTTTTGTTCTCTTTTTGGGCTTGACCATGCACAAAACACAAAAGATGTTTACTACAGACTGAGGAACTAACCAGTAGAAATGTTTTGATTACGTAATGAACGCTTAACAAAAGATTGTGCACGGTCGTGGACCTTCCAACATAAATGTTGGCATCTTTGCCTACTCCTTTGATGTTTGCCGCACTTCATAACCATTCCCCTCTATTCACTATGCTTTAACCTTTGTGCTATTTAATCTCTTTGGCTTTTTTTGATGTTGTTGTAAACAGGCAGGAGAGACAGACTGGGTCTTGTGCTTGTCCTTTGGACAGAGAGAACCTGGTCCGTAATGAGGTGAGCTTACAAATTATTATACTGAAGGGCATGACATAAACTGCCAAAATCAGTTGGAGCATCTGAACACTGCAAATAATTATTGCATAAGACTGAAAATTCTGGTCCTTAGAATTTAGTAAAGTACTTGTGTGTGCAACAATTATTGCTAACTTACATATTCAATTTGTAATCAAACAAATGATTTGGTTTATTTCAAAACTACATTTTTAAATTTATACTATTTTATTTGCGATTCATCATGTCCTTTTCCCTACAAGGGAAATAGGGCCTAATGGGGCCTTATTTGCGATTATCAATGATTGTTTTGCAGGATATTTTTCCAGACAAAGCAATGGAAAGGAAGATCCTTTCCCTTGCTGTTAAATGCCCAAGTGATGGTTGTGAATGGACTGGTGAACTGAGGTACAAAGAGGTAAAGCTAATACAAGCTATTCACAGTACAAAGTAAACCATCTAGTAGTGAAAACAGGAGCTAACATTGGAAATAACTGGACTCAAAATATATATGTCAGCATTTTACTAAAAGCTGCTTAGTGATTGCAGTCAGTAGGTAAAAAAGGTAGAGTCTGCATGCAAGCCAAGTGGTGCATTAGGCTGGCATTTATCTTCGGTTTCTGTAGCATTAAGTGACTAGGAGTATTTCTACTCCCCCCTAGATAGGATGCTGGTTCATCACAGGGTTACCCCCAGCATTATATTTGCCAGTACCCATTTATAATAAACCTGGGTGGAGAGAGCCACTGTGAAAGTACTGAGTGTCTTGCCCAAGAACTCAACGCAATGTCCCCAGCCTGAACTCGAACCCGGACTGTTCGATCTGGAGGTGAGCGCTCTAACCACGAGGCCACCGTGCCTCCACTGTTGTAATCAGTTAGGATATGTATATTATCTTTTGGACTTGTGACTGAAAGGCTTTCTTCTCTGAAACAGAGTCACTTGCGCTCTTGTTCTTTCAAACGTGTTTCCTGCGCCTATGAAAACTGTGAAGCAATTGTGCCAAGAAAAGATCTTGAGGAACACATTACTGCTTTGTGCGAATGGAGGATTGTAGAGTGTGGTCACTGTAGTGAGGCACATCCAAAATGCCTTGACGAGGTACAGTGCTTTAACAATGTAGATAAATTTGTTTTAAAATTATACTGAGGTGACTGAATTTTATTAGTTAGGTCACAATAAATTGAGAAATTGATGTGCAAGCAATATCCTACTGTTGAAAATTATTTTAAATAAACATACAGCAATAATATTTTAAGCAATGAATTATTTTGTGAGTCAGTGTGTTTTTATCTTCAGAGATTTTAGTGAACATTGAAAATACATGCAGTCTCTAAGAGAGATGCTGTGACACTGACAAGATTTTAAAATGCACACATCAGGTAATTTATGCCAAGAATTACCATTGGCTACACACTGCTACCCTCTCTGATTTTTTTTTTGAAAAGAGTAGGCAGCTGTATAAACAAACAAATTGAATATTAAGCTGATTTATGCAGTGTTCCTATTATCTGTGGATGATCCATCAAAGAAGGTCAAAAAAAAAAACCCACTACAAATTTCTCACAAAATTTATGCAGTGAATCTACTTTGACAATGCTTAAAATGTGTGCACATTTAATTTTTTTTTTTCTGTTCCTGTTTCAGAAACATTTGGAAATATGTAAAAAGTTACCTGTGGAATGCCCAGATGGATGTGGCTCAATTGTTGTGAGGGAAAAGGTAGAAGATGTCATAAAAATTGACACAAACTGTCCTCAAATTTTAACGTCCACAAGGGCAATCAAGTCACCAATATATGACCATCGTGAACAGAAACAAAAATCTCAGAAGACAATACTTTGGAAATACTATTAAAAATTCTATTCGGTACATACCATGTATGTTGGGATGCCAAAGTTTTTATTTAAGTATTNCTACCCGTTACATACCATGTATGTTGGGATGCCAAAGTTTTTATTTAAGTATTTTGTGTCTTTCAGATTTTAGACCATTCAAGTAAGGACTGTCCACTGACAGAAATATTTTGTCCATATTCTGAGATGGGTTGTAACAAAAAGGTATTTTACATGTACATGTGATATTTGTGAAGAGATGACATGGTAATCTGTCATAATCTATTATTTTTTAAATAGTCCATTCCAAGTAATCCTTGAGACTGAATCCTTTAAAATCTTCTTGATCAATCCACTGACAGACTAGCCTCCTATTCAGACACTCTTTGGGCTTCCTACCCCACGTCAGGGAGGAAGATTGCGTGACAAGCCGTAAGAATGTCTGCGTTGGAGGCTACTGACAGACTGATTGACTAACTGATTGACTAATTGACTGATAAATTGATGGATTGATAAATTGATTGATTGGTTGATTAATGGGTTGGTGGGTTAGTGGGTTGGGTCAAGTGGGCTGGGTCATGGGGAGGAAGATTGTGTGATGAGCCCAAAGAATGTCTGTGTTGGAGGCTATGGACAGACTGATTGACTGACTGATTGACTAATTGACTGATAAATTGATTGATTGGTTGATTGATGGGTTGGCGGGTTAGTTGGTTAGGTCGAGTGGGCTGGGTCGTGGGGGAGGAAGATTGCTTGATGAGCCCAAAGAACGTCTGTGTTGGAGGCTGTGGACAAACTGATTGACTGACTGATGGACTGATAAATTGATCCATTGGTTGATTGATGGGTTGGTGGGTTAGTGGGTTGGGTCAAGTGGG